GATAAAGAAGATGTGGTACATATACACAATGGAATATTATTCAGCCATAAGAAGAAAACAAATCCTACCATTTGCAACAACATGGATGGAGCTAGAGGGTATTATGCTTGGGGCAATAAGCCAGGCAGAGAAAGACAAGTACAAAATGATTTCACTCATCTGTGGAGTATAAGAACAAAGGAAAAACTGAAGGAACAAAACAGCAGCAGAAACACAGAACCCAAGAATGAACTAACAGTTACCAAAGGGAAAGGGACTGGGGAGGATGGGTGGGAAGGGAGGGAGAAGTGGGGGGAAGAAGAAGGGGAGCCTTACGATTAGCATGTATAACTGGGGGTGCACAGGGAGGGCTGTGCAACACAGAGAAGACATGTAGTGATTTTACAGCATATCACTACACTGATGGATAGTGACTAATGGGGTATGTTGGGGGGACTTGGCGAGGAGGGAGTCTAATAAACATGGTGTTCCTCATGTAATTGTAGATTAAGGATACCAAAATTTAAAAAGTTAAAAATAAAAAAAAGGAAATCTTCCATTTGTGACAATATAGATGAACCTTGAGGGCATTATGGTGATGAGTCAGATAGAAAGATACTCAATGACTTCATACGTGGAATCTAAAAAAGCCAAACTCATAGAAACAGAGTAGACTGGTAGTTGTTAGGGGCTGACGGGTCAAGGAAATGGGTGAAGGTGGTCAAAGAGTGTAAACCTCATTATAAGATGAGTAAGTCCTGGGTTGTAATATATAGCACAATGACTACAGTTATTATATATACACTATCATATACAGATCTTCCTTGAGTTATGATGGGGTTATGTCCCAATAAACACATCATAAATTGTAAATATCCTAAGTTGAAATGATTTAATATACCTGGCCTACTGAACATCATGGCTTATCTTAGCCTACCTTAAATGCGCTCCATTAGCCTGCAGTTGGGAAAAATCATCTAACACAAACCTTATTTTATAATGAAGTGTGGAATACCTCGTGTAGTTTATTGAATACTGTACTAAATATGAAGACAGAATGGTTGTCTGGGTTCAGAGTGGCCGTAAGCTTACCAGTTGTTGACCCTCGTGATCACGGGAGTGATGGGGAGCTGAAGCTCCCACCCTGTCCAGCATCACGAGAGGGTCATACTGCATATTGCTAGCCTGGGGAAAGATCAAAACTCAAAATTCGAAGTATGGTTTCTACTGAATGCATCTCACTTTCACACCACCGTAAAGTTGCAAAATTGTTAAGCCAGGGACCATCTGTACTTAGAAGTTGCTAAGAGAGCAGATCTTAGAAGTTCTCACCAGACACAAAAATGTTAAGTATGTGAGGTGATGGATGTGGTGACTAACCTTATTGTGGTAATTGTCTTGCAATATATATGCATATCAAATCATCACAGTGTATCCTGAACTTACACACTGTTATATCAATCATATCTCAATAAAGCTGGGGAAATAAAGTGAGAGGAGTCAGGGCAGCTAGGATGCTGGGTTTATGAAGGTGAACTTAGAAGGTGCACTGCAGACAATGTGAAGGACTGATTTCCCCTTCATGGGAGTCCACAGAGGGTCTCTGGCCTTGGAGTTTCTCCAGACATGGTGCCCATGGTGTCAAAGAGACACACAGGGCCTGGTGTCACCTTTAGAGGTCTTCCAAGCTAGGAGCCTGGTGGGATGGGCTGCAGGGGAAGAGCGGCTGACCTTCTTGCCACAGTGACCTCTCTAATGCCCAAGTCAGATCACAGCACCCCCTTGCTGAAACCTCCGGTGCCTTGAGAATAACGTCCACACCCCTCGGCAGAACTATGAGGGCCGAAGAAATGACAGCAGCCTCGTCTCTGGCTTCTGTTCTCTCTCTCCTGCTCATTCTTTGCTCAGCCCTTGGGCCTGTGGGTCCCTTAGACACGCTGCTCCTGTTTGCAGACCATGACACTGGCAGGCCTCTGACCTGAGCTCTCCCCTCCAAGGTCTTCCCAGGGATCTTTCTCAGTCTTCAGATCTCGGCCCATGTTGCCTTTTTGGGTCTTTCCTGACTTTGGGTTTGAGGTGCGACCCTACACTTACCAACTTGACTCTGTTTTATTTTTCTCAAAGGCAGCTGTGCTAATTTCCAGTAAGGGCTCTTTGTTCTGACATTTATCATCTGTCTCCCTCCACTGACCACAGGCTCTCTGAGGATGGGGGCCATGCCTGTCACTCAACTCAATACCCATGGCCTCCTTGGGCACGTACCACAGCCGGATATCGGCTACCACTGCGATATCATCATTTATGCATTCCAAGGAGGAGCCCGGCTGGGAGAAGACAGGCAGGGGGCTGGCCTTCCACCCCTTCAGATGCCTTGGGAGCCACAAAGCAGCCTGCGTCTCTGGGCACCTGGGAAGGCAGTGCCTCGCTGGAAGCCCCGCCGACTCGGCCAGGGCAGAGGGCGGGGGGCGAGGCACTGATTACCTGCGAGCTGCTCCTCTCTCCTCGTCACTCTCGTACTCCACGAGGATCAGCTCCTCCTCCCCGGGTGCCAGAGGCTCCGGCACCTCGGTCCCCGCTCCTGCTGCCAGCATCGCCTTGCTGAGGCGGAGGATGCGCTCGGTTTCCTCTTCATCCTGTCTCTGCACAGGAGCATTGCACATGGGGAACGAGAAGGACATCTCAGTACTGGGTTCCCACTTCCTGGATGGCGTCGGTCTTGGTGTGGCTGCCACCAGAACACTCGCGTGCATGCCTCAGCACAGGCCAGCTACCAGCTCCCCAGCTTAAGCTGCCTAGCTGGGAGAGAACTGGCCCGTGGGGGCCAGGAGAGAGCCGTAGTCCCGGCTGCTCACCCGAAGGAACAACACTGCCCAGACAGAGTCCCGGCTGCTCAGGGAGACACTCACCGCACGTTTGGCTGCCTGTCTGAGCTGCGTGTTGTGGCGGATCTGCTGTAGGCGTTCTTCCCGTTTCTTCCTTCTGACCTGCTCCTCCTAAGGGTAAAGCAGCCCTAAAGGAAACTCCTGCATGACGCCCCAAACCAGGCGTTTCCTGAAGAGTCTGGGGCTTGGCCCAGTGCCTCCCTTTCGCTTTCCTGGCTGACCCTCCAGGTGCGCCCGTCTCCAGACCCCGAGCTGCACCAGGGCCCAGCCTCACTGCTCCCTGCGGGAGGTCTGTATACTCCCTCCCAGGGCCACACACGCTCTCAGTCAGATGCATTCCTCAATTAAGTCTGCAGCCACTGAACCATGTTGTCAATGGCAACAGTGCACTTCCTTTCCCAGGTGGGTAATGAATGGAACCACCCACCCCTCTCTAGAGACCTGCTGACACCAGCTTAAAGAAGACAGCAAGTGCGCACGCCGCTGACACAGGAGCACCGACAGGAGCTCAGAGGCACTGAGTCCCAGAATCAACCCCAGAGGGTCACCGAAGCCCGCTTCCTAAACCCCTCCTTCTTTCCCCCCAGGTCACACCTTTAGCCGGTCCACCAGGTCCCTTTCTTCTTTCTTCTGCACAAACTGAGTCACCCAGTCAGGCTCTCCAGGAGGCCTTGGGGGGCCCGGAGCCTCCTGGCAGGAGGAAGACAGGGACGAGGACAGGTCCTTCCCATCACTTAAGGAAACAGTTTCAGCTGCAAGGAGACGAGCCTCCTCTTGACGTTTCTTCTGTTCAAAGTCACGGAGCCAAGAAAGGGCCCCACAAATAAGACTTAAGGATTTGCCCTACAGGAAAAAAAATGTCTTTAGAAATAGAGAACAAAAAACAGCTTCCCAAAGGACCTTCCCCATTTTAATAAAGTCTTCATGGACAGTGTGACGTTGAGAACTAGAGGGCACTCTAACACCCACCTGGGAAGGAAAAGAAAGGAATTAGCAAAGGAGTAGCCAGGGAAACAGGAAAACGAGAAATAAAAATGGTCTTGTTTAATTACGCAGCTCACTGTTCCTAAAAGACTTTAAAGTGGCTTATCAGGTTACATGTAAATGCTACAAGTTAACATAATTAGAAGGTCAGAAATTAAGGGGCCCCCAAAAACAATTAAGGCCAAATAATACATAGCATGAAACCCCATGTACTTGCGATAGGGAACCACTATCGCATGAACCATTTGGTGCTATGCTTCAATGCAGCCAATGTGCAGGAAAAACACGATCTGTCCCAGGAGGCCTGGTGTTCACAAAAGTTTTTAAAACAAACCAATTGCTCTGAAGAACACAATTCTTGACTTGAAGACCAGAATTTTCCCTGTGGGTCCTTGCTTTGGGCTAAATTGTATCCCCCCAGTTCTTATGTTGAAGTCTTAGCCCCAGTGGGTCAGAATGAGACCTTAAGTGGCAACAGATTCACTGCGATGTATTCCACTAAGATGAGGTGGCCCAAATCCTGTGTGACCCGTGTCCCTATAAAAAGGGGACATCTGGACACAGAGGCATATGCAGAGGGAAGGCATTGTGACAAGACACAGGGAGAAGACAGCCATCTACAAGCTGCGGAGAGGGGCCTGAACACAGCTTCTCTCACTGCCCTCAGAAAGAACCAACCCTGCGACACCTTGATTCCAGACTTCTGGCCTCTGGACCTGTGAAAGAATAAATTCCTGAGGCTTAAGCCCCCCAGCTGGTGGCTCCGTTACAGCAGGACGAGGAGGCTAACCCAGTCCTTGCAGACAGGCTGCTACTGTTGGTCCAAAGGGCAGGTCCATTCTGGTGAGTCTCTGGGAGAGAGGGGCCAACACCTTCCAGTCCAGGCAGTCAGCTCTCTGAGCCCACTTAGTGTATGCAGAGTGGGGCTCTGAACCTAGCTGGGGCGTGGAGAACTGTGCGTAAAATGCAGGTGGGTTTAGAGTAGGGGAAACAGCACAGCACAACGGCTGAGGCTACAGACTCTAGGCTGCCTGGGTCACATGCTGCCTCCTCCCCTAGGCAGCTCTGTGACCTCAGGCTTGTTTCCACATCTGCAAAAATGGACATAATAGTACCTTCCTCAGAGGAACCACAAGCATTAAGCCAATACACATAAAAGATTAGAAGTTAATATAGGATTAGAAGCATACCTGGTACATAAGTGACAACTGGAGCTATTTTTCTGATATTTTGAATTAATAATACTATTATTATTATCCTAGAGTAATAATCTATTAACTCTCATCAAATTCTTGAAAGGCCCTATGACAGAATGACACTTCTGAAGATTGGATGGATCACACATCTTTGGAAAGGCCCATATATACCATTTCTCTCAGCTTTTGGTAAACACTGAATGGCAAAGCCTCCCAGACAGCAGTCCCAGCAGAACCTGGGCAGCAGCCACTCTGTGCAGCCAGGGACGTGCGCAGCCACCCGGCTTCAGCTGTCACCAAGCGATGGGCAGGCAAGATGTCCCATTGTAACAATGGCCCAGGGACAGACACCTGCTTAGAGCCAGCGCCTTCCATCTGAAAGCAAGCTGAGGAAGTTCCCAATGTGATGGTCAAAGGTACCTTCTGGAAACAACTGTGAGTACCCTCTAACACTGACAAAGAGGGTAACTGAGGCCCTGCAATTCTATATCCTGTCATAAGACCACCAAAATTTTAGACTGGAAAATGTTAGTAGGATGTATAACCAAACGCTCACTCAGTTACAGATTAAAGCACCCACAGTACAGCTAGCTTTGAGCAATGTTATTTCCTAGGGTACTATCCAAGATAACAGATATGAAACTTACGCCAAGACAAGTAAATTCATTCATTCTAAATACCTACATTGTAGCAAGCACGGGGCTTGAGGCTGGGAACACAGAGCTCCCTAGAAAATGCCCACCTACATTACAAACTTAACATACAACTGAAGAGTGTCATGGTTCCCTGCACAAGTGTGGACTCTGGGTTCAAGAGCTCCCAGAAGTGCAATGTTAAACACAGCACAGTGGGCACAAAGCAGAGAGTTCACCTCTGCATAGAGCACCCATGAAAGGCTTACCAGGTGACTCCTAAAAGCTAAAAGGCCTTACCAGGCCTCTGAGGCACAGGACAGGCAGGTGGGGCAGGCATGCAGCATGGTGTCCCCTATGGGCAAAGGGGCCCCAATGACAGGAGACAGCTTATCAGAGGAGATTCAGAGGACATCAGAACCAGAAGGTAACTGAATACACAACAAGGAGATGAGAACACCAACAAGGACAGGCTGAGGGGAGGAAGAGGGTGCACAGAGCAGGCCAAGGGCTGGGACAGAAATGCCTGGGGGTCGGGCAGCTGGGCTTTGTCTAACCAAGGCCCAGGTTAGACGAGGCGATGAACACATGCTTTTTATGTTCTTTTCCAAAACACACTAAAATTATACCAAAAGAATAAAAGAGGCTTGTGCCCACAACACAAAGGGAGTAGAGGAAAGGACAGTAATAAGCTGTAGGAGATGGGAAGCAGCTGACCTAGCAGAGTGAAAGGCACAAAGCCTCAGTGCCTGCAGAGACCCCCTGGCTCCCCCTCAGCAATACCCTGAAACCAGCAGGGTTGCAGCATAGTGCTGAAAACCAAGGGACTAACAGAAGTTCTTTTAAAGAATGATTAGATCCCACTCAAAGACTGCAAGTTTATTCTCTGAGAAGTGGAGACAGGAGGGCCCCAGTCAGCAGGTGAAGAGTGGGGAAGAGGGCGGGACTGAAAGCAGGGGCACTCAAAGACTCCGCACCTGAAGCCACCTGCCGGGTGCCCTCTGGTATGCTGGCTGCCAGGCTTGGAGCTATGAAGCAATGCTTTACAAACAGCTTCTACGGAAACACCAGATGGCTGTAGGGAAAATCTAGACCCTGACAACAGGAGGCCACAACAGACAGGCCCAGCCCCATGGTCCACAGCCAGCCTGCACCCCAGACCTGTCAATCAGCCTTGTGGTGCCTTTTTCTTAAACACCAAGAGTAGCCAGCCAAGGATTGCCAGACACTTGAAGAAGGTCTCCAAACAAAACACAGAATCCAAACTAGGGGTGTGCAAGGGTGGGGAATTTGTTGCTATAATTGATATCCTGAGACAGTATTTCCGTGAAACAAGAACAGAATGCTATTTTTTTGTATCAAAGAATAAGAACAAGTTTTTGAACATGATAGATATAAGAACAAATGAACTGAATAGAAAGACTGGCAATAAAATCAAAGAAATTTCAAGGAAGTAGAGTTTAAAGCAAAAACAAACAAAAACCAGGGTACCCAAGAGAAGGGCAATTAGAAGAAAACATTAATTACAGGATTAACCAGAAAGTCCGAAACTCAAAGAAAGGGAGTACTAGGAAGGCTGTTAACAAATATACGAACATGTCTCAGGACAGAAGGTCAAAGCCCCCAGACAAAAGTTCCCATCAAGAGGCAGCCCAAAGAATGACACACACACACACACTCCAGGCCCGTCAGCACGAGACCCTGGCACACAAAGGCCAAAGCCCCAGAGAACTCTGGCGGGTGGGGTGGGATCAGGTCACCAATGGACATTGGAAGACAGGGAGCACCACTATGAGGGACAAGAACCCGGCAGCTAGGTTATACACCCAACCAGACCACCATCACCAATTCAGTGACAGGCAGAATCAATACAGTTCCAGACCAGCAAACTATCAACATCTACCTCCTATACAATCCTCAGGAAAGTTCTCTACCAAAACAAGAAAGTAAACCAAGAAGATACAGAATTTAGCAAACAGAATCCAACACAGACAAAATAAGAAAAGAATACACACAACATGAATGAATCTCAAAAATACGCTGGCTGAGCAAAAGAAAACAGACACAAAAGAGAACATAATGTATGACCCATTTTTATGAAACTCTAGAAAGAAAATCTAAAGAGGCAGGAAATAACTGCTGTCTGCCAGGGCTGGGCTGGGGTGATTGGAGGAACACCAGCCAGGAGGTACCAGGACCTTTCTTTCTGGGGTGATGGAAATGTTTTGTACCTTGACTGTGAAGGTGGTAATACAGGCATTCACATCTGTCAACACTCACTGAACTTGTAGACTTTAAAGGTACACATTTTGTTATGTGTCAGTTATATTCAATGAGGTTGATTTTTTAAAAAAGAGAGCAGGAAACCCTAGGACAGTAGTTGGTGAAGTAGGTCTAACGAGCAACTGAGACCCAGGCACAAGGATGGAGGACTCCAGGAAGGAAGGCTCCAGGGTAACATGGGATTGGTACTCGCCACGGACTCAATTATGTCCCCCTAGATTCTTATGTGTTAGCCCTAATCCCCCATGGGAGTGTGTTGGGAGAAAGGGCCTGTCTGGAGGTGACTAAGGTTAAATGACGTCTTAAAGGTGGAGCCCTGAACTGACAGACTGGTGCCCTTAAAAAAGGAGAGAGGCACTGAAGATCTCTCCCCCTCCACGAGAGGACCGTGAGAAGGTGGGCATCAGCAAGCCAGGTGGGCAGCCCTCACCAGAACCCTGAAGCCTTGATCTTGGGCCTTCAGACTCCACAACTGTGAGAAAAGAAATTTCTGTCATTTAAGCCGCCAGTCTAGGGTATTTTGTTATGGCAGCATTAGCAGACTAAAACAGTAATTTTATATATGGAATATCTTTTTTGAGAGGCCACTGGGTGATGTGAGAGGAGTTGGCATAGGTATATTAAAAACAAACTAGCTTTTAAAAGGTAATTATTAACTCTAGAAAAACAAATTCACAGCTGCAGTATAATGACTTAAAAGAGACTAAAACTTAATCTAATTATGTGGGGAGGAGGGAAAAGGGAGAGAAAACTACATCTTATCTATCACAAGCGGAAGGTATGATGAATAAAATCAATAAACCCAGAAACAGCACCACAATTTGATCACCTCAAAATATGCTACACAAGTACATTTCTTAAGAAACAGTTCAAAGAATTAAAAGTACCTGCTCAAAGAACCAAGTTTGATAGGTTTGACTTTTTAAATGACATGCATTATTCTTTGACTAAATTTTTTATTACTTTAAACAAAGGAAGAGGATATATTCAACAATATCAAATGTTGCAGAATGGTCAAATAAGGACTTGAAACATACAAATCTATTAGTCAGGAAGTCACTACTGATCCTAGAAAAGATTCCAGTGGGTTGGTAGAAGTCAGATTGCACTGCGTTTCTGTGAGGCTAAGAATATTAGTAGAATGCTTTTTAAAACACAGATCACTCTGCATGTGATCTTTGTGACCCACATCGTGCTCACCTATTCTCTCCACTTACTGCATGCAGAACAGAGTGCCCCATCTGCACTCTTCCTGTCCCAGATGCCATCTCGAGAGAGATGACATACTTCCCTTAACAAGGGAGAGAGGAGAAATGAATCACTTTACTCATTCACACACATTAAGAGCCTCCCATGGGCTTGCCAAGCTCCACTAGATGACAGGGACACAGAGGTGAGGACAAAAGGTCCTTATCCTCCAGGAGGTCACAGCCCAGCTGGGGGGGACCATCACATCAACTCCTACATGTCACCAGCACATAGTACCGATAAAGTGCAAGAGAGAAGGGGGACCAGTCACTACAGCCCTGATCAGCCTCAATGGCCAGCCTCTAATAAATCCCTCCCTCCTTCCAGGCTAGGGAGGAAAAACTTGAGGGCCCTTGATTGGATCCTTCCAGCACTCAGTAAGCTGGCTCCTGGAGACTAAACCAATATGTTTAATCTGTGAAAAAGCCAAAGTACTTTCTGTGTTTCTCAATATCAAAGCAGTTGTGTGCCCAGAGAAATCTGGAAGGTTTCAGTGCTGTGGGTCATGGTTTCCAGGGCCATTCAAATTCTCATCTGCCTTTAGCTTAATTTTTCTCAGCCCTTGGGTTGTGTTCAACCATTTAATAGAGAAAGTGACTGTTACTCAGAAAGAAAACTGAGATAATCACTCTGTCCAACTACAAACCATGAAAATCTCTGCATATGTGAACAAGCATGCTGGGCTGACCCTATGCTGTCGTAATCAGGGTCTCTGAGGACCCTTCTTAGGCTCCAATCATTCATACTTACAGTGCCAGTTGGACTTTCAAATATCCCAATCTTCCCATCCTCCAACACCTGGTAGAGTGCTGCCATGAAGTCTTTCTGGATGGAATAGGGTGTGAAGGGAAAAGGGAAATGGATGCCACCAGCCTCCTGGGCTTCATTAGCCATGGTCCTAGGGAAAAAATAAATAAATCTGGGAGTACTGGCTTGAAATCCAGAACAGTTTATAACAAAAGTCTCAAAAGTTGTTACGGAATTTCTTAGGACATGCATTTTTTGCAAGCTAGACCATGTTCTCTCCACCAAGTGCAAACCCTCATGAAGCCACACCAGAATCATGCAATCCATCTAGCAGCGTTTCAGAAGTGGCTGTAGCAGAATGCAGATTAGCAAAGCCATAAACAGAACTCCTGCCTTTTCACCTGGGATTCCTCTGCTGCTGGGACACCCTCCTAAAGCCTCTATGAAAGGTGTGGAGATTTCCCCTGAAGGACCTGCATCCCCGGGATCAAGGATGACGCTCAAGGTTCCTTTGAGGCACTGTGCTCTACACCTCCAGAGAACGGTATTAGCATGACAAACCTGCTTCCTGCATCCTGTTGTGAGGACCTGGAAAACCACGCCACCCAGGCAGAGAATTACAAGTCAGTTCTGCACATAGCACAGGCACACATTTGCCCAGATTTTACAGACACCGTGGGCTGCTTCTTAGTTCATCCCAGCCTCCATTTCTGGTACAAACCAGAGCCTCCTCCTAAACATCTCCTAGCCTCAAGAAATAAAAGCTTTCTGTCTGGTTCCAGACTGGGGAGCTCTCTTCACAGGGTCTAAAGCCTGGCCAGGAGAGCTTCCTTGCCAGGAAAAGGTCTAAGGCAAAAAGGAACATCTCTCTCCAGGCTGATCTTCTTTCTCCTCTTCTGAACCCAATTTCCCTGAGACAGCTTTTACATACCCTTTCTTCCTTTAATCACCATCTGGAGGACTAACTCTTCCTGGTTCCCACATTCTTTTTGGAAGCCACCACTCCAAGCTATTCGGCAGATCCGTCTCTTCTAAGTAGCAATTTTAGTAAATCTGAAACCCATTTACATTTTTGCTACATAAGTAGCCTCATTAGATGAGTGATGGTGTCAATACATTTATGAAGAGAAAGGTAGGTGCCAAGTGTTCTTCCAGTCACAGCTTAGGGGTGGCAAAAATGGCTCGCAGAGGGGAAACTCCAAGGGTGACTTTAAAAAACTAGGACAGTTCAACACCGAGAGGGAGGCAAAAGATCGAAAGACCATTTAGATATGAAGGAAAGGGGAAAGAGAAGGGTATCTGACACATTTTGAGTACCTACTATGTATTAAATACTCTACAGCCCCATTTACTTTATCTCACACTATAAGGATACTATTCTGGATACTAATGCTTACAGAAATTAAATAACTGTTTAAAGTCACAGTTAATAAGAGCAAAACCAGGATCCAAATCCAGGTCCATGTGGTTCTGTTTTGGTCAAATGCATCCAGCTACAAGAGATGACTAGCTTAAGAAATGTGACATTTACTGAAAAGAATCATATAGAGATTAAGAATTGAGACCATTTGGTAAGTGGAAGAACAGGATGGAACTTCTTGCAGACTAGAATTACAAAATAGTTCTGATTTCAAGACAGCTCCAGGAACCTCACCAAGTACATACCCATGGACTGTCTGCCACTCTCCTGTTCAGTCACATGCCAGATAGAGCCACTAACCAATTTCTTCTCCTTATTCGTAGCTCCTGGTTACCCCAAAGTTCAGCCTGCATACAGCCTCTTTGGCCCCCTTCTACTTTTTAGCTTCAGTTCCTACTGTCAACCAAAAAATTCTTTTCATGTTGTTAGTTCCAAATCCCAAGAGAAAAATCTGACCAGCGTCTCCTCTCCTTTAAAACCTGCTCAGTGAGGTACCTACCCTGATCTAACCAGCCCAGGCCTTGCACCTGCTGCTCACCACCGCCCCCTGCCTGGGAATGATGGGTTCTCTTCTACGTAAGGCTCAGCTCACCTCCCTAGAGAAGCCTCTTATTCGGCCTCCTGATAGTGACCAAATACCATGCCTCACCCAAACACACACAGACCCCACACTACTTTCAGTCCCTCTTTTATCTCATTACCCATGCTTAATTTCTTCAGGTTCTTAGCACTATCTGAACTTTCTTTATTTACTGTCCTCCCCACACTAGAATGCATAGAAGAGAAAACTTTATTGATCTTGCTCCTCCCTGACACTAAAACTCACTCTGGCACATAGTAGGCATTCAAATAATTTTTGAATGAATTAATGAGTAGCCAGCCTGACTGGGGAGCTACAGGCAGAGGTCTCTGTTCCTGAGGTGTAGGTGGAGGATGGCCCATGACTTAAATATCAAGTCCAAGGGCCAGTTCTCTAATGGTTTCAAACTGTTCTCATAAAACCTCACAACCTGTATGGTCAACATTTTTATTAGCCTATTTTATAAATAAAGAAGTGAACACTCAGGAAGTCAAAAGACTTGGCTACGATTGCTCAACAAGTGCCTGAATCAGGATTAGAAGCCACATCTACAAGACTGCCAACCCCCTGAGCTTAACATTTCAGGCTTCCTGCTATCAGGGGGGCAGGGTGAAAAGGCAGGCTTCGTGACTAAACTTTCAAATGATAACATGAAATGATACAGAACAAAAGTAATTATTATTTCGCTTCCCTGTGGGTGGTAATTATAGATCTCTTTACAGAAGCAGTTCAAGCCTTATCACAAGTTAAGAAGGGTTTAGATAAATCTACGAATAATGGAGTCACTAAGCGCTACTAAGGACGATTGATGTAACCTTTTCTGACCTCTTCAGTTTGGCTGCGTCAACGACAACCATGGCCTCCCACACAGCTCTCCCCAGAATTCCCCACCAGTGCTCAGGGACACCCAGATGGCAACCCTTATGCATATTAAATGAGGTGAGACACATGAAAGAACCTCAGATATGTATTTTTTCTGAAAATTCATTTTCTTCAGTCTTTGATTTATCACCCATTATTTACTTGGGTATAAACAAGTGCTGCAGACTGAATTGTGACCCTTCAAGAAGTCATGTGTTACAAAAAAAGAAAACTACAGACCAATATCACTGATGAACATAGATGCAAAAATACTCAACAAAATATTAGCAAACCAAATTCAAAAATACCTCAAGAGGATCATACACCATGATCAAGTGGGATTCATCTCAGGGATG